ATCCCTTGGGCATGCTACTATAATGTGAGCTTTGAATGTTTGAGCTCTTTATAAAGTACAATCACTGACGCTACGGGCCATATACTGTAAGCACAGCACTCCTATACAACGATCAGGGGAACTGTTGTTATTCACATTCAAGCATGAAGTCTCCTCAGTGCTGTACACTTTGAGAGGAAGACACCAGGCAACTGAGTCCATTGTGAGCAGAGTGCAAACGGGAGGACATGTGGGTGGATAAATAACACCAGCTGTCTCCAATTACAAACAGGATGCGTCCCCTGCTAACAGCAACTAAACAACTCACTTTTTAAAATCAAGACACTGAGGTAACTTTAAGCAATATGCCAGATTTCACATTTTGGGGGGCCGTGTTTGTTTTTGCAGTGTTTCAGGCTGTTGATGAGTGGGGAAAATAAACTATGAAAGGTATGGAAGTTAACAGCTGTGTGGAGATGCAATTTGCATACTTAATGTATTCTAATTATTTCATTAGAGCCAGAGTTTTCAAAGTCTGACACTGTTTGCCCCATGCTCAGACCTCAACTGTAAATGGCTTGGGAATTCTGATAAAAAAACATGAAAGATTTTTGTTTTTTTTGGCTGATTTTGACATCTCGCAGTACTGTTCTTTGTCAAACTTCTAATTGGGATAATTATGATAATCAAGTTTGGAACTTCATGCACAGTTCCCATGATTTGAGAAATGTAAAAGGGAAGAATAATGTTGCAAAAGAGTCAGAGTTAATTTTTTATGCTTTTAACAATATATTTCTTCTGTTGACCACAACATATTACTAGACCGACTGGAAAACTGGGTGGGACTTTCGGAAACAGTTCTAAATTGGTTTGAATCCTACTTAAAGGACAGAAACAACTTTGTTTATATAGGTAAATACACATCTGAGTTGACAAATATGACATGTGTGGTTCCTCAAGGCTCCATCTTGGGGCCTCTTCTCTTTAACATCTACATGCTACCACTGGCTCAGATAATGAAAAACTACAAAATAAGTTATCATAGCTATGCGGATGACACACAGATTTACGTAACAATTTCACAAGGAGACTATTCTCCGAGTAAATGCATTGAACAAATCAATGACTGGATGTGTCAGAACTTTCTCCAATTAAACAAAGATAAAACTGAGGTAATGGTTTTTGGAGCGAAGGCAGAACGTATAAAAGTCAGTGCTGAGCTTCAGCCTGCAATGTTCAAACAACAGATAAAGCCAGAAATCTAGGTGTAGTCATGGACTCTGACCTGAGTTTCAACAGTCACATTAAAACAGTTACTAAATCAGCCTACTATCACCTAAAGAATATATCTAGGATTAAAAGACTAATGTCACAGCAGGATTTGGAAAAACTTGTCCATGCTTTTATCTTCAGTAGACTCGACTACTGCAATGGTGTCTTCACAGGTCTCACTAAAAAATATATTAGAAAGCTGCAGCTAATTCAGAATGCTGCTGCTCGAGTCCTCACTAACACTAAGAAAGTGGATCACATCACTCCAGTTCTGAAGTCTTTACACTGGCTTCCTGTGTGTCAAAGAATAGATTTCAAAATATTGTTGCTGGATTATAAAGCTTTGAATGGTTTAGGCCCAAAATACATTTCTGACCTCCTGCTAAATTATGAACCATCCAGATCTCTCAGGTCTTCAGGGACTGGTCAGCTTTCTGTCCCCAGAGTCAGAACTAAACATGGTAACGCAGTGTTTAGTTATTATGCTCCAAATATCTGGAACAAACTCCCTGAACTCCTCATTGCTTTTAAATGAGTGTTTCTAGATCATCATTTTATAATATGTTTCTTAATGCTCTTAATGTCTTTCATTTTTGTAAAGTACTTTGAATTGCCTTGTGTTGAAATGTGCTATATAAATACACTTGCCTTGCCTTACATTTTGTCAAATTGCTGTTTATGACAATGCACCCTTGAAAATAAAAACACCTAACAATGGATTACTAAAGAAAACTTCAAAATGTGATGAAATTAAGGAAACCTGGACAAAAGTAGTGTCTTTTTATCTATACTTTGAACAAAATGATGCCCAGAAAATGTAAGTCACACTGAATCTCAAAATGTGCATGTATAATATGTATGTGTGTTCTGATTTGACTGCATTGTGATTCATAGAAACAAGTGTGATTATTGTATGCAAATTGGAGCAATCTGGTGCTAAGGATTTTAAAGTAGCTCCATGAGCTGAGCCACTAATGCAACTGCTGACTGCGCTGATAAGCAGCCAAAATACAAAGCCAAACTAGAAAAATGTACTTCCTGTTGCTTTCAGAACATCAGCATGCACTCTTTTTAATGTACCACTCATTTATCACTCAGTTGCTTTTTATTACACATTCATCTTATTTACACGCTAAGGGTTCTTGAACAGTCATTTATTTTAGATTGTTGCTTTTAAATTGTCTATCGTTTTGACTTGTTCCTGTTTTATGGTGCGTGAGCTTTGCTGTGTGATTTGGGCCCCAAAACAATATTTGCACCGGGGCCAATCACAACCTTGTTACTCCACTGCAGACACATCATATTTTAAATTCGTGTTTTCATTTATGTGTCGTGCTTTAAAATATTATAATACATGTTTATTAGTATAATTGGGATCACAGAATGTTTAAATGAGAGTAACAAATGGATTTGTCATACACTGCGATTGCATTTATATTTAAGTCGTGTTTAGGGAATAACACAGCGATGTGAATATCTTGGTTTTTCCTGAGTTTACATTATTTCTCTATATTTCTTTCACAATATTTGTATTTCATTCCATGTCGCTACAGCATGTGATTGTAAATGTATGTACATTTCTAATATAAGTGTGATTGACTCGGGGAGAGGATGTGTGTGTGTGTTGTGCAGTGTCAACACAATATTTCTGCAGCTCTATCTTTCATTTGTGGTCTCCATGATGAAAAAGGAAAATCAATAACAATTTGGTCACAAAAAAAGGCTCGTATGGAACTTGGGTTTAGCTTTGTCCTGTAATGTATTAATGATCATTTTATTCATTTACCAATATAAAGAACAAAACAAGATTAAAATAATATTAGCTCAACCTAAAAATGTATTTCTGGATTTAGGACCTATACTTTGATCAAAGACTGTTTGCTCAAATCATATATTTTGAAAATTTGATAATTTTATTGAAAAAAAAAGAGTTATTGAGTGAGAGTCAGTATGGATTTAGGAAAAATCGATCTACAGCTTTAGCTTTAATGAAAATAACAGAAGAAATTACAACAGCTATGGAAAGAAAGAAATACACAATAGGTGTATTCATTGACTTAAAAAAGGCATTTGACACCATAGACCATTACCTATTAATTTCGAAATTACATAGATACGGAGTGAGAGGAGTAGTTCTAGATTGGTTAAAAAGTTATTTAGATAACAGACAACAATATGTAGAATGTGCTGGTAGTATGTGTATGGAGTCGTATGGAGTAGTAAGGTAGTATGGAGTGTATGAACATAGAATGTGGTGTCCCGCAGGGCTCGGTTTTAGGGCCTAAACTTTTTATTTTGTACATCAATGACATATGTGAAACGTCAACATTTTTGCAATTTGTGTTGTTTGCAGACGACACAAATTTATTTTGTTCAGGAGATGATTTAAATTGAGGATGTTGTACTGTTCACTTATTTTGCCATTTTTCATTTATTGTATAGAAGTGTGGGGCAACATGTATATGAGCAACATAAAGCCATTGTCAATATTACAGAAAAAGGCAGTACGAATAATTCATAAAGCTGACTCAAGAGAACACACGGACAGACTGTTTTTTAAGTCAGGACTCTTGAAACTCAAAGAGATAGCTGAGCTGCAGACATTATCAGTAATGCACAGGGCAAAATGCAGAATGTTACCAGTATATTTACAACAGTTGTTTGTTTTTGGATCAGACAAGGAAGACCACAGAAGGAAATACAATTTTAAGCATCCATATGCAAGGACTACTCTTAAACAAATGTGTATTTCGGTGGTTGGTGTACAATTGTGGAATTCTCAACAAAAGGATCTAAAGAATTGTATATGTATTTTTCAGTTAAAGAAGTTGTATAAATTAAGAAAGATGGGACTATATGAAGCAGAATGTGAATAAGTCTATGTACTCTGGTCCTTCATGTTTTTGATGTCTTTGATGTGATGTCTCTTCTGTATTTGCGGGTCCCATTGCCATTGTTATTTTTATTATTATCATCATGCGTCACTTTCCACCTTCTTCTCCAGTAGGACTCAGATGAGGGTGTTGCACTTGTCTTTTCCTTATACATGTGATGTTTTGGTGTTGTTTTGTTTCTTTCCGTTAACCGTCAAGTGGGAAATAAGTATTTTTTTGTGTGTTTCTCTTAGTATCCTAAGATACTGTTATGTTTGGCTCTGGAAAAAAATATATATATATATTATTATGAAGGGCAGACCATCTATTTGTATGTATTTTGTTTTTTTTAGAAAGGGGCAGGTCACATAAGATTGTATTCTTCTCCCTGCTCCTTTTCGCTCAATGGTGTTTTGGTACAGTAGAGTCATGTTTTGTGGCAATTATTGTATATTTGGTTTTGCGTACCATGAGCGGGACAAATAAAAATGAAATGAAATATATAACTTCACATGAGTTGCCACGTCTGAACATTTTCACCCGTCTCCTGTGGTTTTCATCTTGCCTCTAACCAGGATATACCTTGAGAATACTTGTCACATACTTTAAATTGCTTCTTCTTAGTGTTTGGGTCAAGGGGAAAGTTTATTGATAGGAAGGCAGTGATAAGCAGATGGCTGGGGAGGTTCTTGTCAAGGCGATGTAGCAAAGCAGCTTTTGAAAAGCATGTTTCAAGAACGGACACATTTTTTAGAAAAGTTGAAGTATTGTTGACCTTTCACTGCTCCAAAAAGCTTTATCTGAAATACTTGGTGTTTCTGGTAGGGTAACAGGCTTAATCAAATCTTACATGGACTTGATGACATGTTTACTCACCAAGCATGATGAGGGTGGTTGTCCCTTGTTCGTTTCCAGAAGGGTAGGTGGCGTACTCGCAGGTATATCGACCGGTGTCGGACATTTTAAGGTTAGAAATCCTAATGGACGGGTTCTCCAGGGTGTTGTGGAGGAAGACAACCCGGTCCTTGAAGGAAGGGTTGGGGAAACTCTGTCCGTAGATAGGGTGGTACACAGCAATGTTGTCCCTCTGACCATCAATGGGTTCCCAAATCCAAGACACCTGTCGGAAAACAAAAGTTTGAGGTTTTTGTTTATCCAATCTTTTTCTTTAAAGTCCTATATCTCTATTAAGGACTCAGGTGTGTCTAGCTTTCATTTTAAAGTCAGACTAATAAGATGAAAAAACATAAGGAGCTTTTCCAGAATGATCATCTATGATCGAATAATGTTGCCATAAATTCAGTGAACTTTGCCGTGTAACCATAGATATACGGACAACTTTCATTGAGTTCTTATAGTTATGATAGTTATGAAAACTTGTAGGCATGTTTTGGAGTGTCTTTTTTCTATGATTTCTAAGTCGATTTGTGGGTGTTTTAATTGCAGTCATGTCATACGTGATGATATGCTTGGTAGTAGTGTTTCCATTATGACTCTAAAAAAGAGTGTGATTTTTAGCATAAATTGCAGCAATCATGGGCTAAGGGCTTCAAAGTGCCGTAATTGCTTCCATGAGCTGCGTGTCACCACCACTGAAGCCGAGTGTTGATCATGGTGGTGAGAGGGAAAAATCCTCAGCCAAAGTACATTAGGTAGCTGTTGTTTGAGAAACCCCAGAATACCTTTAATAGGTAGGCTGTATAACTACTAATTAAATGTTGAGCTGTATATTAATCACCAATAGTGATCACAGTTAGAATGGGAAAGAATGCCCCTTCAGGCTTTATGTTAGTGTTCTTGTGTGGTAATCCCTGCCACCAGTGGGTCAAAGGGTGATAGCTGGCTTGTGGTGTAAAGAGCTTTGAGTGGTTGCTAACACTAGAGCTAAAACAGCACTTGCAGTGTTTTTTTTTGGGTCTATCCATACATTAAAGGTGGGGTAGGTAAGTTTGAGAAACCGGCTCGAGATACACTTTTTGTTATATTCCATGGAATGCTCTTAACATCCCGATAGCAATTAATATCTTAAGTGCTTTGGACAAAAAATCCATTAAAAAATGTCATCTGTGGAAGCCGTAATACTGTAAAAAGCACGACCAATCATTTGAGCCGGCCCGGCTAAAATAACTGGATGGCCTACCTGCCTGTCAGCCTTCCATCTGTGCACAAACTTATCTCGCGCCCTCATTGGTCATGTGCGCGTTCGTGTGTGTTGGAGGAGGGGCTCTGTAAGGAAGTGGCAGATTTGTTCCGGTTGTGTATTTTCAAATTCTAGCGCACTCAAACTGGTTTCTCCAAAATTACCTACCCCACCTTTAAAGCGTATATGGGAACACATCATATACGAAATATTCTATGTTTTTGATTTGGCATTGATAGCCTACAGTTTTTTTCAGGCTTATTAAAAATGTAGAAATGTACAGAGATACGCTTAGTTGATATATTAAGTGACGCCATAGGGTTAGGGTTAGGGTTGGCACAATACTATTTGACTTTAGCTTAATTATAACTTGAAGTGCAGTAAACTGTATGTTGTATACACTAGGTACTGTACTTATTCATATATCCATTTATAATATGAATGCATATGGCAATCCGATAGTAATCTATATGAGCAATTAAGACATGTGTATTACACATACTGTAATCATATGCGAGAACCATCATTTCTGACATTTCCGAGTTGTTGAAATTTGCAGTTCTACCTTCTTCAAACCTGAAATAATTCCACTCTTAAAGTAGAAGCAAAATGTCAAACTCAATTAAAGCTGCCAGCGTAAGGAGCCTACAATCTATTGTTAGATTTAATTAAAGGTTTCTTAGACTTGCTAACACACACTCAGTGATCCTGTAGCCATTTCATCATACTTCTTATGGTTTCTGATATGTGAGAGGTATTGATATCTGTAATGGCTGTATGAGACTCTACCACAAGGGAGAACACTGTGATGTTATACCAAATTGATTATCCTTTCTCTCCAGTTTTCAAAGTGACAGTGTTAAATACAAAGCACTGACTAGAGTGGTAGAGCAGGAAGGTGATGGAATAAAGTTAATCAATACACATTTAGCAAATCTATCTATTAGTATTATGACATCTGGAGGAGCAGGGGAGAGAAAGCAGTGGGTTGATGGTTTGTGGAGAGGAAGACTGGTTGTAACCTGTCTCTCAGAGCAGATTGGTAGGTGAGCATACTTGTTAGATGTTGATTTTAGGCAAAATATCACAAAATGAGATCTGCAATTTCCATAATTTTCCATGTGAACAAATAGCACATTGATTGCATCCACAACTCAGAGCAGTAGGGATCACACAAGCATAAAATAGATCTATATTTTATTTTGCTATGCAAACTGTACTTATTTAAGCATCCTTGCAAAAACTCAATTTTACAGGAATAGACTTGAACATATCATAATAATGTTCTGATTTCCCTTTGACCGATATTAACAGAGCTTGAACGCATTATAGTGCAACTCAGTGGCGAACCGTGTCTATCACAACTGGACCTTCTGTAGACAGACACACCCCACACCACCGCCGCCACGGCATTATAATGTCCATCTTTTCACTGAATTGTCGTCTTGAAAAGGGTACTCGCAACAATTCCGCAACAACTTAATCTTCACCTGTTGCACTTGTCATTTCAACGTTAAAAACAATAAAACGGCATGAATTGCTTCGTCGCATCTAGATGCTCTGTCTCGAGCCAGTTAACTAATGGGCCTTCTAGAGTAGCCTACCCTGGAACCGAGGGGAACTCTGAAAGAATACGCTCAGTGGCTACAAATCAATATATGATTGGATGATCAAACTGTCAGTCCAAATGTACGCTCTCATTCAGTGCAACAGCTAGGGCATTCTATCAAGGATGTAGAATACCTTGGTTGAAGGATATTCTACCCAGAGACCCAGAACAAGATCTGATTGGTTGCTTTCTTTTCTAACACAAAACCACTGAAATGCCTAGTGCATGGTCCGAGAAGGACAAACAAATCAACGTAACACTGTAATATTACAGATCAACAACACAGATACCATTCTCCATCCATCCATCCATCCATCCATCCATCCATCTTCTCCCGCTTATCTGTGGTCGGGTCGCGGGGGTAGCAGTTCCAGCAGAGAGCCCCAAACTTCCTTTTCCCTGGCGACATCAACCAGCTCTGACTGGGGGATCCCAAGGCGCTCCCAGGCCAGCCAAGAGATATAATCCCTCCACCTGGTCCTAGGTCTACCCCTTGGTCTCTTCCCAGCTGGACGTGCCTGGAACACCTCCCTAGGGAGGCGCCCAGGTGGCATCCTAACTAGGTGCCCGAACCACCTCAACTGGCTCCTTTCGACGCGAAGGAGGAGCGGCTCAACTCCGAGTCCCTCCCGGATGACCGAACTTCTCACCTTATCCCTAAGGGAGACACCAGCCACCCTGCGGAGAAAACCCATCTCGGGCGCTTGTATCCGCGATCTCGTTCTTTCGGTCACGACCCATCCTTCATGACCATAGGTGAGGGTAGGAACGAAAATGGCCCGGTAGACAGAGAGCTTTGCCTTCTGGCTCAGCTCCCTTTTCGTCACAACGGTGCGGTAAAGCGACTGCAGTACCGCTCCCGCTGCTCCGATTCTTTGGCCCATCTCACGCTCCATTGTTCCCTCACTCGAGAACAAGACCCCGAGATACTTGAACTCCTTCACTTGGGGTAAGGACTCATTCCCTACTTGGAGTGGACAGTCCATCGGTTTTCTGTTGAGAACCACGGCCTCAGATTTGGAGGTACTGATCCTCATCCCAGCCGCTTCACACTCGGTTGCGAACCGATCCAGTGAGTGCTGAAGGTCGCAGACCGATGAAGCCATCAGAACCACATCATCTGCAAAAGCAGTGGTGCAATCCTTAGTCCACCGAACTGCAGACGCCCTCCCCCATGACTACGCCTCGAAATCCGATCCATGTATATTACAAACAGGATTGGTGACAAAGCGCAGCCCTGGCGGAGGCCAACCCTCACTGCAGAGGACCCGGACACAGCTCTGGCTTTGGGAGTACAGAGATTGAATGGCCCTGAGTAGAGACCCCCTCACCCCATACTCCCGCAGCACCTCCCACAGTAACTCCCAGAGAACTCGGTCATACGCCTTCTCCAAGTCTACAAAACACATGTAGACCGGATAAGCGTACTCCCAGGCCCCCTCCAGGATCCTTGCGAGAGTAAAAAGCTGATCCGTCGTTCCACGACCAGGACGGAATCCGCATTGTTCCTCCTCAATCTGAGGTTCGACAATCGGCCTGACCCTCCTTTCGAGTACCTTAGAGTAAACTTTCCCGTGGAGGCTGAGTAGTGTGATGCCTCTGTAATTGGCACACACCCTCTGATCCCCCTTTTTAAAAAGGGGAACCACCACCCCGGTCTGCCACTCCTTCGGTACTGTTTCCGACTTCCACGCAACGTTGATGAGACGTGTCAACCATGACAGTCCCTCAACACCCAGAGCCTTCAGCATTTCTGGGCGGATCTCATCCAGATACCATTCTCATTTATTCATTTTATATACATTTTATTTATATAATTAAATCGATTTTGTTTTTGTTTTATCTGAGTGTTCCAGGGTATTCTCTGAATACATTGAAGGCCCTGACGGTTCGCCACTGGTGCAACTCAACCTTGCTCCATCGACCACTTGGTCGCTAGTGTTGCTTGGACCGCTAACGGCTAACTTTAACTAGCTCTCCCCTCTGATTGCAAAACAGATTGTGGTTCACAATGTAGCAATTATCAGGGAAAATATAGTGTTGGTCCCCTGGAAGCATTAATGGTGAGTTTACTGCCTCCCAAACATATTTTCAATCAAAAAGGGCTGTCAGGAGAACCCCTCTTGGTACTCAAGTATTGGTTCTTGTGACAGCACTAGTCAAGACAAAAGGTTTGTCATATAATCAACAGCACCATTGCTGGCTGCATTGGACTCGCACGTTTTTGCGAAGGTGAGTATGTATGCGGGGTAGGGGATTTAAGAGAACTTTTCTCCAAGGACATTTTATATATATATTAGGGCCGGGACTTTAACGCGTTAATTAAGATTAATTAATTACATAAAAATTAACGCGTTAAAAAAATTAACGCATTTTAATCGCACTTATTTTTGCACCGCGGAACGTTTCTCACTGGATGAGTTTCAGGCGTACCGATTATACTGGAGCACCAACTAACGTTCATGACTTCAGACAACAACAAACCACAGTGAACAAATGGGAAATGTTGTTTTAAAAAACGGACGGATTGAAGCGTCGATAAGAGCACGGTTGTGTGCAAATTATGCAAAAAGGAATTTGCATATCATCGCAGCACATCAAGCCTCAAGTATCACCTCAATGCAAAACATATAGCAGCTAGCGTGGACGTTAGCCTCTTTTATCGCGTTCACACTAAAAAGAGCCGGTACTAAAATTAGTTCATGAGAACCTTTTTACCCCCACGAAAGTCCCTGCTAGAGAGCAGAGAGCTGCGAGAGAGCAGGGACTTTCGTACGGCTCTCTTGTGAGAAAAGAGCTATATTTCTGATTGGCTGGGCGGATTGCAAACCCACGCCCCGTAAAACTCCCAAAAAGTTTTGTGAAGCCGCCATTTTATTATCCTCGCATTAGCATTATTAGCATTAGCCCAGCGCAAAAACGCAGAGAGACTAACTTATGGCAACACAAAATAAAACATGGGAGCGGTGGAGATGAGGAGGTGTCGGCGTTCTGGCGATTTACTCAGAAGGCTGCTGGGTCTCCCAGCAGCTTCTACTGAAGCCAGTCCCCAACTCCGGGGACTTCCGGCCGGGGACTTTGGGCGGCAGTATACGCCGTGAAGTGGTTTGCGGCCTGCCAGTAAACCCAAAGCAGAAGAAGAAGAAGTGACGTCAGCGGCTTCATTTGCCTAATCCACCCCCAGGTTCAAAGAGTTCTCATGAACCTTTGTGGGAAAAGTACTGCGGTGTGAATGCGCCTAATGGTATACTAAAATCCATGTGAAAAAAATTGCTTCTCACTGTTCTTAGGTCAAATATGTATATGTGATTAAAAATGCGATTAATTTCGATTAATTAATTACAAAGCCTCTAATTAATTAGATTAATTTTTTTTAATCGAGTCCCGGCCCTAATATATATATATGGTGGTAATCTTTTGTTTTATAAATCTCTTCTGTGTTACTTTTTTATACAGATGGCTGGAAACGCACTTAATAACTTATTTTAACTTATATTATACGTGGCTAAAATACACACATATTCCGTTAGAAAGCAATCTAACATAGACATTCTGAGTTCCAGAGTTTCCATAGCCATTTAAAAACCCACATTTGTCTTCCGTCTTACCTGTGTGAGTTTGGTCCGGCCTCCTCCATCGATGAACTCGCAGCGGAGATCAACAGACTCTGTGGGGTACGCCTCCACCTCCTCCTCTACACGCACTTTCTGAGATACGATCCCTGAAGGAAGAGGAAGAAGGAGGAGACAAAGAGGAAGATTATGATTCATCCACTAAACCAATATTGTGTGAATAATTTAACATGTTTGTTTGTATTGGAAAGGAAAGAGGAACTTGAACTAACAAAGGATAAGATGGAAAAGATCAAGAAAGAGAAAAAGCAATCGGGGAACAATTTGGAAGGCAGCAGCAGCTCAGCCTGTCGAGCCTTTGGTTGGGAACCGGAAGGTCGTCGGTTCAAGTCCCCGGACACACTAAGTAAGGGGCAAGGTATTGTACTTTGAGAGCCTCCTGGGACTGCCAAGGGGGACTTAGGCAATGCACCAGACCCCCCAGATTGATCCCCAGGTGTTGTATTCAGTATATAGTAACTGCCCAGTTCTCTTTATACTAGGATGGGCTAAAGTCGGAAAAAAAGTCCATTTGAATCCTCCAATTCTATTCTATCCATTTGTATTATTTTAGTGCTTTAATTTAATTACGTTTCTATTATGTTGGAAGGAAGGATACATTAATGTGTTCACGATGATATTAAACAAGGTTATAAAGAAGTGTCACCGGAATGAGGGGGAATTAAGAAAGAAACAAAGAGATAACAGAAAGTTCTTTCAACAGACAGAAAAAGCATATGAATCATGAGCCCTTGATAAGAGCCCCAGGCATAGACTTAGCCGGCGTGTTTCAGGAAGACCCTCCTCATTACAAAAAAAGCTTGTCTACCAGGAGGCATCGCTGGGGGCGAGCCTTTAGGAACCCCCCACGACTCCAGTACTGCTTATTTAATTCGATCGAGATTCAGTGGAAGGCACCTGTAAGTCTTGGCTTGAGAACAGGTTGAACATAAACAAGTCGGGGGGGCTGTACAGATGAAAGGAGGACGGGCAGAGGCGAGCACCGTGTTAACCCCGAGCAGAACCTGCTGACCGGCTGTTTCAGTATTCTGCAGGTTCATTGGACGAGTGGAATGATTTCTTAGCATTCGTTTCTAACCCTGTGATCAACACACTGTGTGAGGCTTTGAACTGCCAAGGCCAAACTCGTATTGCAAGACTTCTTTTGAACTTATTCTTAGTACAATTCATATATATAAGTAAACAACTATGCAGCTGTGATGCCCTTTTTCCCGTTCTTTTTCCCCCCCAAACAAGAATCAATGATGGCCCAGATCCCGTCTGTCAGGTCTCTGCTCTGTTCAAACACACCCAGTAGAGCCCGGCTTGCACTGACTCTCAGACAGATTTGACAAATAAAACTTGTACAAGTAGAGGAGTTTTCAACAAGTAGAGGAGTTTGCAGGAAAGCATCAGAAAAATCCTGATCAGGACACAAAAGGAAGCCGGTACTTTAAAGTGGACCTTAGACTTGTTTTCTGTGTTTATTAAAACGATTAAGGTAGTTTAGAGAATTTGTCGTAAAGGGTTTTGTTTTGACTAACGCAGCACGCACCTCTCAACCGGGGAGACGAATTACAGCAGTTGTACCATGTTAAAACTGTGTATTTTATGTATATGTATTATAAAGACAATAAATAACACTTGCTGTAGTGCATTTCTTGAAATGAATGCACTTTAATGAACTTGTAATCCTTCTCATAAAATGATGAAAGAAAGAAATAGACTGAAAGAGAATAAAAACAAGAGGAAGGATCAGAGAGAGCAAGTTGTAATCCTTTGTTTATGCAAGTCCAGCAGCTCAATGTGTTTGGCAGATTCCATATACAATCAAGGGACATTTTTATTTCATTTCCTTTTGATACGATGAGCTTCGTCATTAAGCCTCTTTATGCCCACTCCCTCCCATCACTATGCTCCCCTATCCTCCCTCGCTCGCCCTGCTCCTTTAGCTGCTCCCTGCCTGGCGCCCATGCAGTGATCCGGACCCCTGCCACGAACCCCCTGCCAGTCAAATCCCAGCAAGGTCTTCTCTCCCCCGCCTCCCCTCTGCCCGCTCAGCCAGCCTCTGCGCCTGTAAAGATACAATTCTTGTGGGGAGCGGGCCTCTCGCTTCTCTTCACAAGAAACGTGGATAAGCGCTCGCTAACCGCTAGCCAGACCCGGGTGGTTGCAGTGAAAAAGCCTCTTAGTGTGTGAGGGATTGGTTAGGACAATTTGCTACATGCCACAGCAGAGAGGTGAATAGGCTGGCTGGGGTTTACCCCGCGAATCAGCTGTAAAACACACATTAACAAATAATTGGAAGTGTGTGTGTATGCCGGAGGGGGTGAGGAGTTGTTTTGGAATTGCAGCATGCATGCATCCACGTTTCCGCCCAAGTGTGCAGGAATGTGTGTGTGTGATTACTGTATGTCAGAGAGTGTGTGTTTGCATAAATCACACAATCTTGTTTTAATGTGACTGCATACAACACTGATAGTCATTGAACCACAGTCTCTACCCTGAGGGAGACAATGGGCTGTCAAGCTAGTTATCTCTTCCCACTGTAGGCACACAGAGACATGCACACACATGCAAAACGCAGGCAGATCACAGGCTGTCAGACGAGTTTATCCACGGCGCGAATCAACAGGAATAGCAGCGATGAACCAACAGTTCATCTCCGTCTTCCATTTCTGTCACGTTGTTCTTTTCTCTCCATATTTGTTGTCTCATGCACAAACACACACTCTCATTTCCTCCAATTAAAAACGACAATGCATGTCTCCTACTATTTAGGAGGAAGCCGAAATGCAAAAATCCACACGATATTGGGGAAACCACAAATAACAAAGCTTTGGGGAACTCATGGCAGTCAATATAATTAATTATGTGGTGCAAAGACACAGGAGAGGAAGAGCACTCAGACTCGCAGACTTTCCCATTGGTTGGGTTTTATTTATAAATCTCTGCTTGGGTTGGTTCCCTCCTACATTTGCACATATATGTGTCAAAGAGAAAGTCTATATGGCCTGTGCTCCCAAGATTTTATTCAGATGCTGGTTCCTACAGTGAGAACACAACTGGGTAAAACAGCTTTTAGATATGCTGCCCCCACAGCTTGGAACAATGTTCAGAAGGAGCTGAAACTCTCAGATGTAATCACTATGGGGGAATTCAGGTCCATCTTAAAGGACAGAGAACACGACACCATTGGTAGATGTGAGTGCTCGTATATCCTAAAATCGTTTTAAATGTTGCAAGTTTTGAATGATTTTTAATTGTTTGTTTTACTTCGCATATTGACTGGCTAATGTGCCATTTTATTTGTTTTTTACAGCTGTATTTGTCTGCCTGTCATGTCTGTGTTTTATCTGTTGTAACTTCGTACATGCTGCCCCTCTTGGCCAGGTCACTCTTGGAAAAGAGATTTTATTCTCAATGAGTCTTTTACCTGGTTAAATAAAGGATATATATAGGAGATGATGGAGAGGTGGTTAAAGACTAAAAAGTGAAATAGTGAAAAAGTCAGGAAGAATCTGAAAGGAGAGGAACATGAAGAGGAATTCACGAGGAAGCAGAATGCAGCAGTGATAAAAGAGCAACACTAAGAAAAGTCAGGAAGAAAATAAAGCAGAGAGACTGAAGGCGATAGAGCTGCAGGGGAGACTGGAGGAAGAAATTAAGAGGGATGACTAAAAGACAGGGAGTGGAGAAGAATGATAGCAAGTAGAGATGTGAGATATGAGCAGACAAAAAGTAAAAAACAGTGAAAGAGTGAAAGGGAATGGAGCAAAGAGCATGAGATCGCATCAGAAATGATTCATTTCCTCTGAGTCGGGATTTAAAAAGTCCCATGGAGGGCGAGCTGAGAGCGGACGAGATGAAGGGAGAGGAAGAACAAAGTTTCTCTTCTCACTCTTTACACAGGCCTATAAGAACAACTTGCTCGCAAAATAAGTTGCAACTGGTGGACGTTTTGCTGTTCTTTTGGTTTTTGGGGTCAAGATTCTGAGCTTTGTTGCAGTTAAACGTTATATTCAATAAGATGAGTTTTAAACGTATCCATACAAACAAAAGAACATGGTACTAAAGCAGGGGTGCCCAACCAGTCGATCGCGATCGACCGGTCGATCGCGGGGAGATTCCCAGTCGATCGCGAGATGTGTCTAAAAATAGAACAACAATATTCTGTTTTATCGTTAATGTCCTGTAACATAATCTTCCTGTGCCAGAATAATGCACTTGAACGCATCAAAGCTTTGTGATTGGCCGGCGTGACCCCATGTGTCAGGGCGTGGCTGGTGAGCAGTGGGCAGTGTGCACTAGTTCGCTAACGTTGTCCGTGTCAACAGGAGTGACAGTCCGCACACACACAAGACCGCAATTATGGCAGAAGCAAAACATATATAATTCTCACTCCGAGTGGGAGGATGATTATTTTTGTATCTATTCCAATTCAAAGTCCATCTGTCTCATCTGCAATGCGAGCGTGGCTTTATCGAAGAAGGCAAGGCAAGGCAAGGCAAGTTTATTTATATAGCACTTTTCAACACAAGGCAATTCAAAGTGCTTTACAAAAAATGAAAGAGATTAAGAAAATGGCATTTAAAATCAGTCATTCAAAAGAAAAGCTAATAAAATAAACATTCAAAGAAAAAATACATGGATAAAAGTTACAGTGCAGTCAATTAAACATTAAAAGAAAAAAGTACATGGATCAAAGTTACAGTGCAGTCTAAGATATGAATAGTTCAATTAAAAGCAGCGACAAAAAGAAAAGTCTTCAGCCTGGATTTAAAAGTAGTCAGAGTTGTAGCGGACCTGCAGGTTTCTGGGAGTTTGTTCCAGATATTTGGAGCATAATAACTGAACGCTGCTTTACCATGTTTAGTTCTGACTCTGGGGACAGAAAGCTGACCAGTCCCTGAAGACCTGAGAGATGTGGATGGTTCATAATTTAGCAGGAGGTCAGAAATGTATTTTGGGCCTAAACCATTCAGTGCTTTATAAACCAGCAGCAGTATTTTGAAATCTATTCTTTGACACACAGGAAGCCAGTGTAAAGACTTCAGAACAGGAGTGATGTGATCCACTTTCTTAGTGTTAGTGAGGACTCGAGCAGCAG